TTCGCATAACTTTTTAAGGACTACAATTTTTACCAGGAATGAATTTTCAAAACATGAATTATTTTTGGATATACAGGATTTTGGGAATAAATTTACCTTCCATTTTCACAAATCCACATATATTCTAAAATTATGTCTATAATAAAAGTTGTAATCCTTAAAAAGTTATGCGAAATAGAAAAAAAATTCATGACTTTCGGATTTTGGAGCACAAAGTTATGGTCGTCCAAAGTTTTACGAAATCGGAAAAAAGCTCGTTCGGGGTAGCAAACGACGTTTTTTTCTCGACGAAGGCGGGACCAAACTACTACGTTAGTTTGCGGAGTGAAAGATCTCGAAAGTTATGCGAAATAAAAAAATTGCTACGTTCGGATACCCGAGCACAAAGATACGTTCGTTTGAAGTTTCCACCTAAGTTGGGAATAATCGGATAAAAAATACGCCCAAAACCGCTGGGTGGGGCAGCGGTTTTGAACCAAACCGCTGGGTGGGGCTGCGGTCAACAAAACCGCCCCCGATCCAGTGGTTTTCGTGTAAATCGCTGGGGTGGCGGTTTTCGAAAAATGGTGTTATTTTTGGAATTTTTCGGGATTGGGTGCTATTTTTGTAAAATAAAATTAAACAGTGTTATTTCTGGAAAAAATCCGGTAATACCCGCCCTGTACATCCAATCTTATTAAATAAAAAATGTTACTTGTAAATTATCAATTATAATACTAAACGAATCTATTATATCATGAAGTTAACAAAGATACAATCATTTTTAATATGGATTAAAGCACCCGAGGGAAAGGAACTAAGTACAATATTTTTCGAATCGTTGTTCTCCGATTCTGATGCTTCTACTAAGTAATAAGTAGCTAACATAATATTATTAACAAGGAGGGAGAAGTGAAAGAATGAAAGGTGAATTGAGGGAAATGAATTATACTTTGGTTTGAGTTGCCCCTCAAATGTATTTCTACTATTTATCTTCTTAAGTTATCCTCGCTAACATTGATATGTCGGAATTTAATCAATATATTTTTTAAAAGTAAAGGAATACTCTTGGTGGGACGAATATGAGTATGGATATGAGACGGAAGAGACTGAAACCATACCCATCAAACGTTGGGTATGGCTATGGTGACATGCATGTCACCGTAACTTGAACTTTTAGGTCGACCTAATATGCAATTTTAGGTCAACCATATATAGGATTATGTCGACCTAATATGTTGTTTCAGTTTTGTGAGGTTCAACGACACGGTTGACCTTTAATAGCAAATGGTCGACCTCTTGGGAAGCGCATGGATGGCAGGTACGACTACATGGGCCAGATTTTCACTCAGATGACTGGTATGTACGACTACATGAGGCAAATGACCACCCAGATGAGCACACTGCAGGTGATCGTGAATGAGATGCGAGATGAGTTTCGATCTCTCCGTGGAGGACACATGCATGTCACCGTAACTTCCAACACCAATGAAGAAAATGTGGACGAGAGAGAGAGAGGGGACATGAGCAGGGATGACAATTTACCCACCCATGGGTAATTTTGCCCAACCCCAATTATACCCATCTATATGGGTAGGGTATGGATTTATTTTATATGGATTTGGATAGTATTTTGATAGGTAGAGTTGGGCTTGGATTTTGTTTTCAATTTGAAAATGGGTATGGGTTGAAAATGGGTACCCATCACTTTGGGCCTGCTTGTAATTGTTTTATTTTTTAGATACTAAAATGTAAAACAAAAATTTTAAGGTATTAAAATATAATTTTATGCACATGATGTCAGACCTGTTTGTATCTCCTTATAAAATTCAGGTACTGAAACGTAACTTGTGCTACAGCGTGTTCCATCTCTTCCTCGGCTGCTACTGCTGCTGCTACTACTACTACCATTACTACCATTTGTTAGTACTGCATAACTCTACCTAAAAAGTACATAGATATACATCAAAACAAAGCATATCAGCAGCAAATAATAAGCAAAGACCTAGGCTAGGGACCCAATATTTCCATCTTTGGGGAAACTGAAGTGAATTGCGAAAGGAAAAGGAAAGCAGACGTGAATAACAGCAACAATAAGTTAGTTTCTGAAGCCATGTTTCCCTAGAAATACCAAGCAAGCAACAAGCAATCATTCAAACATCCCCATTCAGATAGCATCAAAGAACACATTATGAATATGTATTTGTTGTTGTTAGTAGGTATTGGGTTGCTGTTAGAGCATCAAAGAGAGAAACTAGAACCAAAGAAAGGGAAAATGCAGGGACGATTGCTTTTTGATACTCCCTGTCACGATACAACGAGTCTCCTAGAAGAATCTGCTCTACAACAAACAAATACCGACGAATTAAAATAATTCCCCAATTCACAGCATAGAAATTCATGTTCCACAGTTAAGACATACCCAACTTATGAATTCCCTGTTTAGTAAGACCCAGTTCACACAGTGGAAGATGAAGCATACCTGAAGCTGGTTAGTCTCGGATCAATTGGAGATGAGAACACTGAAGACGTCGCCACATTGGGTGCTTGGCGGAGTGGGTTTCTGGTTGTCTAGACCTCTGGTGATGAGTAGCGACTAGCGAATCCGGTAACTGTGGCCTTGTTGGCTGTATTAAGGATACAAACTCGGCAACTGACGCTTCAGACTGCATTGATGAGGCGGAGCATGCAACTGGGCGGGGCGACCAAGATCTTCGATCTCCCGGCGGAATCTGAAACGTGGCGTCTGGCGTGGTGGTGACTGATTTCCGTCTCCGATTCTTGAGGCAAGAGAGGCCAGCTCCAGGTCCACTCTCTGATCACCGTCACTGTCCGCTCAACGATCACCGTTTGGTCACCAACATTGTCGGCGCCGCCGGAGGGTAGAGGAAGACGAAAGAGAGACAATGTCGATTGCCGAGTGGGACCTGGGAAATGGGAATGGCTAGTGAGATACTGGTTTTTTCTCTTTTAATTATTTGCGTTTGGATTTTGAAACCCAAATCCATGGGTAAAACCCAAGCGGATCCAACATAATGAGTATGGGTATTGACCCATCTGACTTAACCCATTTACAATTAATTTGGATTTCAGACCCAACCCAACTGGGTTGGATAATTAAAAATTCATGGGTATGGGTAAACTTGCCATCCTAGATATGAGTAGGAACTCGAGGATTTTAGATTGTGTATTTTTATTGTTAAGTGTTAAAAACGATTGTGGATTAATATTATGTGGTTTTAGATTTTAGTTATGTGTGAACAATTATGATTTGTGTTTTATTGTATTTTTTGTTAGTTTGTTTAGTTGTTATGTTATGAAGTTATGAGTACTTGTTATCATTATTTATGACTGATTTTGTTGGTTTGAAACGTAATTTGTATGAGCAAAAGAACCACCCACATCGCTTCCCCAAGAGGTCGACCATTTGCTATAAAAGGTCAACCGCGTAGTTGAACCTCACAAAACCGAAACGACATATTAGGTCGACCTAATCCTATATAATGTCGACCTAAAAGTGCAGATTAGGTCGACCTAATCCTATATAAGGCGGACCTAAAAGTGCAAGTTACGGTGACATGAATGTCACCGTAGCAAAGTCCTCAAATGTTTTGCGAATTTTACCTGTACCCAACTCATAACCAATCAATGCAAGAATTTTCTCCATTGACTGGTTCCCACATTGACTAGATGGAAGACAATTAGGTATCGTGATGATGAGAACATTTTGGGCTTTGGGTAGTTTCGGTTTGGGCTAGGGTGTTTTAATTTTGGGTCAAGTTTTCCTTTTGTGTTTGGGAAGGGGTAGCCGAATATGGGTAGGACTAGGTTACGTATTGGGCTTTCTTGAGTCTATAAATATGCAACTTTGGTGTTAGTTCCGTATCAATCAAATAAATCAAAGCTTTATAGACACCAACGCCTTTCTCTTGCTTGTGAGTTACAAGCAAAACCCTTGAATCGTGGGTTACGATTCATCAATTGGTATAAGAGCCTGGTTACGCATCCTACTGGGAAAGGTAACATGGTTCTTGACTTAGCCCCGTACCGCGCCCTAGCGTGGAACGCAAAGATGGCACTCGAGCAGACCAAAGTCACTTGTGCGCAGCTAGCAAAGTCGTGTGAAAGGTTCACGACATTCTGCCGAGAACGAGAGCTGAACGCCAACCGCGCAATCGTCTCCGGAGGAGAGCGCAACGACGATGACGTGGCCCGCATCGACGCCAATGAAATCAGGGCGGCGGGGGATATTAAGATCTTCGTCAACGAGGTCGACGGGAAGTAAACAGTGCGCAAGGGTGATTATCACTTAGGCGAGGCTCTCACCCAACGATATGGAAGCGATGGGAAGGAAATAGTGCGCCGCAGTGGTCACCACCTCGACGAGGCTCTCACCTATCAATCCGGAAGCTGTACGAAGGAGGAAATCGAGGCTGGAGCAGTGACCAATAGAAGCGGTGTTGTTGGTGGCAACCGAAGCTTTTTAGATTCGCTTGAAAGGCCGTTGTCGATGCAGCGTGCGTCGGATGGACGTTTGGAATTTGGTGGCTCGAGTTTGCGTAGGACACTACTTATCCCTCAAATTAAACACACAAGAAGAAAATTTGCATGGGACCAAGATGATGATTATGGAGGCCGATCAAGCCTCATTTTATTTGCCCCAAGCACTAGCCATTTTGCCAAAGGATTTTGTATGTAGTTGCACCTCAAGCTGCCGAGTTTGGAGTCCCAATAATGCAGCTAGCAATCCATGCCCCATTCATTAGAAGGAAGGCAAACAAAGGTCGATCTTCAAACTGGAAGTTCCGGAAGCGACGCAAGTATGGTCGTCGCAAGAGCTACAACTGCTTTCGTCGTCGACCTCCACGTCTCGACATGGGTAGTTTCGGTTTGAGCTAGGGTGTTTTCCTTTTGGGTCAAGTTTTCCTTTTGTGTTTGGGAAGGGGTAGCCGAATAAGGGTAGGACTAGGTTACGTATTAGGCTTTCTTGAGTCTATAAATATGTAACTTTGGCATTAGTTCCGTATCAATCAAATAAATCAAAAATTTATAGACACTAAGTCTTTCTCTTCCTTATGAGTTACAAGCAAAACTCTTGAATCGTGAGTTACGATTCATCACCAGATCATGAATTTGATTGTCATCCCCGCCCCTAACAAACACAACATTTAGAGAAGCCGAAACTAGCTCTTCCACCAATTAGAGAAAAAAACCCATGCATAAAGATACGTCCAACTATCAGAACATGAAAAAGCAGCAAAAGGAAAGCGGATAGAATTGTTTAAGGCCACGAATGCATCGATCAGTCCAGACATCACTGTACCGCCAGGTGGAAGCATCCATGGCGCCACCTGTCCAAAACCGTCAAGCCCACAATGAGATGAGAAAGAGCGTGGCCTCAGCTTTCATTATAGCGGCGGCCGTTAGGCCACTTGATCGGTATATCTGCGTTGTTGCATCACTCCCATCACATCTATCCACATATCACAATTTGTTCGGCGGTGGCTCCTCCTAAATCAAACTGAAATGTTTGGCCTCTCTGCTTTTGCTTCTGTGGAGAGCACAGCTCTAGGCGGGATCAGGCCACACAGATAAGGAACAAAAGCACGGCCCTCTCTTTCCATGAAGGAATACAACAATCCACAGGGATCAAAACCTTTCCATCCTATTCCTTCCTTCCTCTCGATCGTGGATTCGGGAAATTGGCCTGGCCGTCACTTTCCGTTTTGTGGAATAAAAAGCAGCCACCCCGCCCTTTTTTCTCCTTTGCTTCTTCGCATTAACAACTTCCCATTTCTCTTCCAGAGGCAGAGATTCTTCCACCCCCCCCCCCCCCCCCCCCCCCCCCCCCCCCCCGTATATATCCTTCTCTTTTAAAGAAACCCATAAATTGGTTTTCTTCACATCCTTTCCATTCCTCCACAATAGGAGAGACAGAGAGATGTGTCTCCAAGTTGTCCCTCCTCCTGCGTTTGGCCGCCGTCATCGTCATCATCATCATCTGGTGCATGGGATTGGTGGTCATGTGGCGGAGGATGCAGGGGAGGCAGCAGAGAGAGTTATAATCGCCGGTGGTGGAGATGGAGGAGGCGGTGGCGGGATGATGAGGTGGTGCGTGTGCTCGCCGACGACGCACCCGGGATCTTTCCGGTGCAGGTATCATCGAGCTGGTTATGTATGGGGCGCCGCAGCCAGCAGATCAATGGCTACCGCCACCGCAGAAGCATGCACATGATCAAGACAGCGTTGTTTGTATAAGTATGCTAAAATCAGAGACCAATTACATGCTGTTATTTGCTATCTTATCTTCTCTGTTCTTCTAATCACAGAACAAGAGAAAATCTCTGTAATTAAAAACAGGACATCCATGATGAAAAGCTGAAGCTTGAATGGATAGGTGCATATAGCAACTATGGAAATGTCAGGGGATGCCATTGGTGAATCTTTGTGAAGAAAGGCAAAGCCCAAATCCTTTCCAGGCAGACCGAGCTGTTCAATACTCTATAATCCCTGCTCTTAAGGTTTCAGTATCAGTGTATCACCCATCTGTTGATTAATGAATTCTCTCAATTCGAAGGAAGTTATGGGTTGATTGGAAATGAAGATGACTTTAGCTAAAGGGGCTTTTAAGAAGGAAAGAATGAGATTCCAAATGCAGGGAATTGGAGAATTTGCTGCATGTTAGCAAGTTAAATCGCCGGCGTCCTTTTGAATGGATGCCATATTCCGTCGCCAATGTGAGAAAGTTTTAGGATCTCAAACAGAGTTGATGCCATAGATTGTTCGGCACTTTATTCCGATACTGCAATAATTCACCGAATAATTTTCGAATGATCCAAACAAAGGGGAGTGTGCAGTACTACTTTAGATCAGTGCAAATTTTGCTTCTTGGTTCTGAAAAGGACTGATTCTGATCTCGTGAAAAGAAGAAAAGATGATTCCCGCAAAGAACCATCAACAATGGAGACTTCAACATACCATATACCTCTTCAAAAAGAAAAAACAAATGAAAACCAGTATTTGGACAAGATTGTGGAACCCGTGATTCCTTCTGGAGAAAGGACAATAATCCTGCAACTCATCCAACACAATAACCTTTGCCAATAGGGTCATTTTATCATAACCCATTGGCAATAAATATTCACGGGTAGACTCAAAAATCAGTTATGAGTAATTCAGTATATGTACAGAAAGTTGTCTCGCATAATATCCATCAGTTTGCATCCCATCCGAATCAATGAAACACCGAAGGCCGTCATTAGGCAGTGACCACGAAGCTTAACTACGACGAGTCTCTAAAACAACACACCTGTACAGTATGCAAAGCCCTTGGTGAAGGAGAAGCTGGAATTTGCTCTTCTACCCAACAGGTGACTAAAAGGATCAGGCTTCACGTACATTGGACGCCATAATTACTCCGGGTTTGACAAGCCTTGCCCTCTGCTGATGATGCATGGCTTCTCATGTCACTGGCAGGGTTGCACAGGAGTAAGTAAAAACGGATCAGTAAATTCAGCCACCAAACATAGCGTAAACAATGGATGGAGAAAAGAAAGTGTGCTGGAATTGTCAGCACAAGATCTAACAGATATATGAAGATTGCTTCGGATAGTGAATGCTACCCCTCCAAAAACATATCAATGAGTGCGAACTTATTATTAGCTAATGACCGATGTCCATGTTCCCAGCTCATTTGCTTGTATGTATGTTTCCAGTTATAGAGCTTGACCGATGCATTGATATAGCAACTAACAAAGCACACATTCTCCTTTAGAGTAGTCCACTACAATGTACATCAAGTGATCACAAAGGCAGCCGGGTTCCTTACCAGAGGGTAGCAATTTTGACGTACAACGGTCTGGTTGCTTGTGCTAACATAAACTTCACAGGATACTTTCCCCTGAAAACAGTTTCAACAAACTTATGTCATCCCCAGAGCCAAAACCAGAAGAATCACGGAAACTCAATGCCGAACGAAGTGAACATCAACCATTCGCACAGGAATCAAATGCAGAAACTGCACAATAAACTGCTAGCAACGGTAAAGCATTAGACTAGTTCAGAATCTATCAGAATTCAGCAACTCCCCAAAGAGTCCTCTTGTGACAATCAAAGCTTCAAACCCAATTAAGCAACCTCTACTCTCTTTGGAAGATAGAGGACCTAATCAAGTACCAATTCCAGGGAGTTCAACTCCATCAGAGGCATTGCAAGCCGATGTCTCTTCCATCAAATAGTTCCAAAGGATCTACCCAAAACCCTAAATTCGCAATCCTCTGAAACCCTACCAATGCTATACAAACCTCGCAGCTTTCCATCATCGTAATCTGTAGAGGTCACGGAGGAGGAGGGAAGAGCGACATTACCTCGATAGGGATCTCAAATAACAAGAGCCCAAGATCGCCGTTGACCGTGGTCATCGTATCGAAAGGGACGACTCCCTTGGCCAAATCCTCGATCAAGTAGAAGGCATCCAAAAAGAATTCGAGCCCATTCAAATTAAGCGTCGCATTAACATACGACGACCCTCTCGCCTTGACGGTGCCGCCGAGCGACCTCACGACGCCGAGCTGCCGCCCTCTGTACCCGATCGACACGGAGAGGTAATCGTAGTCGAGGGAAAACAAATCTGGGTTCCGAACCTTGACGGTGAGGGACAACGAGATGTCCAGCGTGAGCTTCGGGGAGGAATGGACCTGGATGTGGTTGAGCCCGACCCGGGCGACCGTGATGTGCGGGTCGGATGGGTAGAGGAAGAAGAGGGCGGCGGAGAGGAGGAGAGCGACGGCGGCGAAGGCGGAGCAGCGGCGGAGGAAGAGGAGGGTTGGGTTCGGTCGAGGAGGGCGGTAGTGAGGGAGGACGATCACGTTGTGAGGGTATACGGTGGGGACGGCGGTGTAGGGGATGGAGTCCGCCGGAGCGGAGGTCTTCGAAGGCATTATTTGGTTGTGTTCGCGTTCGTTCCCCGACTTTTCTTTGGGTCGGGTCCGTCTATAAATGGGTTAAGAAGAAAACGATCCGTATTGGTTAAGGATTGCTCATACTTTTTTAGGGGGAAAAATAAGCAAAATATGTAGCCAAAACTTTAACGGTTTGACCAAATATAGCCTATGTTTGGCTCGGTTTTTAGAAGTGTTTTTCGGCTTCAAAAGCTGAAGCAGGGTCAAACATCTCTAAAAGCTCGGCTTTTGAAAAGCCGAAAAGTACTTTTGTATAACATAAAAGCAGAAGCTCCGAGCGAAAAGCTGTTTTGAAAAGATTATCCTTACCATATTTTAATTTTATTTCAGAAAATATAATTTTCCTTCATTTATATCATTTTAAAAAAAATAAATTATAAAATTATATTATTTAATATAATTGAAATCTAACAAGATCCATTTTGACTACTTTTTATTGTTTAGAATTTTTATTTATATTTTATATTATAAGTCCTTTATAGTCATTTTACACAACCGCTCATATTAAAAAGCTCTTCTAATAGTTTTACAGCCAAACACAAAACTGGTTTTTTTGAAAAGTACTTATCTAAAAGCTACAACCAGAAGCTGCTTCTGAAAAGCTATAGTCATTTCCGACGAAATACCAAAAATAGCCACTTCCGTCCGATTTTTTGACGGTGTCAAGTAACGAACTGAGTTGGACTAACTGAAGGTTGAGCTGGACACTCCATTTGGTAACAACTAACAAATCTATGTGGATAAACTAAAAAAACTAAAAATTAAACATTAAAAATGAGTCTTTGATAATCTTTATTCTCTTATTCTTCCCATTCGTGTTCCCAGAGAAAAACCAGAGAAAAAAATCCCCTCTTTTCTTAAGCTCTCTTCCAATCTCTCCCCTTCTTCATTGCTCTAGGTTGTTCTCTTTGAAAGGCCTACCCAGCCAGAGAGACAGTAATGGCGGTGGTCTGGATGGAAGGCCTACCCAGTGGGAGTGGATCGAAAGGTGAAAAGCTTGTGTATCTCCGCCTGGGTACTCGGCCAAATCCAACTTCCCCCCGCTGCACTGCTCACCACCGTCTTCCATGGTCGGCCACCATCGGTTCGCCTCTCTGTCGTCGCACCTAGATCTCCGCTCGTCATCGCTGTTTCGGGTGTCGTCGATCTGTCTCCGCCCACATCTGGGTGTCGTCGATCTGTCCCCGCTACGTTACTCGACATCTATTTCCGCCCGCATCCCCCCGCGGTCGATCTGTCCCCGCTGTGCTGCTCACCATCTATCTCCGCCTGCATCTAGCCGCCATCTTCCTCTAGACCTGTACTTTACGGAGAGTAGAGCTCCGACATGCGACATCAAAAGAGAGTGGGATTGATGGGTGGAGATTAATATTTCAATTGGATTTTTGTTTGGCTTTGGGAATGTTACAGACTTGTGTAGAGAGACGAAAGGAAAGGAAAGGAAAGGAAAGATACATGGAGGAAAAGATAGTTAATTGGTTTTGGGAATTTACAGATCTGTGTAGAGTGACACGAAAGGAAAGAAAAAAATATGGGGAGAAAAAAATAACTAAAAAATAATTATTTTATTTATTTAATTTTAAATTAAAAACACGTGGCATTTACATGTCACCAACAACTGAGTTGTCGCTGATCTGTGCGATGATTTGGCATCTTAGTCAGCTTAAAGTTTGTAACGGAAATGACTATATTTGTCATCAAACTTTCAAAATTCTGGCTATATTTGGTATTTAACCAAAAGTGGCTATTATTGTTACAAACGTCTAAGTTTTGGCTACACAGATGAATTTTTCCAAAAAAATAGGCATTTACTGGTTGACAGAAAAATGGTGAAATTGTACCGGATATTATACTCGAAAAGCAAGCAGTATGATATTTTAATATTGAAATTGTGATTTAAGTGTGGTTTATTATGATTTAACCTTTAACAAAAGATTTTTTGTGTTGAACAGACACTATAATACGAATTTATAAATACTAATGGAGACTTGAGAATAATAGTCATACTTTGAAAGAAGTTAGTACTTAAAAAAGGGTCAATACCTTATTTTGGCGCGAATTATACCCAAACTTTCTACTTTGGTCTGTGATTTCTGAAATTGCTCATCTGATCTGAACTATGCATCATACTTCCTTACTCGGCCCAACGCGAAATTTTGATAGTCAAATTGAACAGTCAACTCCATTGACCGTTAGTCAATCACCATGCCACTTGCCACGTCACCAAACCCGAAATAAAAAGTTGGATTTGCAATTTATTAAATTCATTTTGTTTGCTAATAAAAATGATAATTAACAAAAAAATGACTAGAAAATTTGGATTATGAAAAAATATTACAAAAATTTAAAAATCAAAATTTTTTGGGTTTGCTGACGTGGCAAGTGACCTAGGCGCTTGACTAACGAATAATGGAGTTGACCGTCTAATTTGACGGTCAAAACCCGCGTCGGGCCATACAAGGAAGTATGGTGCATAGTTCGGGCCAAGGGAGCAATTTCAGAAACCACGGATCAAAATAGAAAGTTTGGATATAGTTCGTACCAAAATAAGGTATTAACCCACCATCAAATGCCTCAAGTAATTTGTTAGAAATCAACAAATTATGATGAGCCCAAAAGAGGGTCTTAGTTGGATCAGAATGGCACAACTTCAAGGATTCAAAGGAATTGAATCTCTTCGAAGCAACAACACAAAATAGAGCTCCAAAACAAACTTGGATAGCTAGATTGAACTTGGAATTAGATAGAACAAAAGAGAAATCTCACACCTGGGAGATTGCACGATTGTATAGTGATGTCTTCGATGTAATTGAGTGTGATATCTCAATCAATAAGTTAGGGTTAAGCAAGTTCTGGGGACGCACCAAAACCAAAACAAAAACTCACAAACACACATTTGCGAATTAGGGTAAATTGCTCTCTATTCAATTTTCCTTGTACCTTACACGAATCAAGCCTTTTATAGGCATAAACAAACTCAAACAAACTAAAACACAACTTGAAATAAACATAATTTAACAAGGAAACTAATTCAACTCTAATTCGAACCCAACAAGGATTCTGCCTTTAACTTACAAAACAAACAGTTCTAACTAGCAACTTTGAGATGTCTTGAACATGGATCAAATGAACTCCAAATCTTCAGCCAATTCCTTTATGTTGTAGATTGAAACATGTACTTCCATATGGCATAACTCTCTGGCCTTGATTCATCTCCATCTGTCTCGAGTTAAGCTCCCAAGATAGCTCCTCAGTCAATGTTCCTGTCTTAGTCATTTTTAGCCAATTTCTCGGTTTCAACTAGGAACTTTGGAAAACTTTGATCATGACCTTTCAGGCTTCCCCTTGAGCATCCAAGCATTCCCATTTGTAGAAGAATTCTCCACCTTCAAAACAAGCCCTTAAACGCGAGTTTTCACCGAGTCAATTGAACGAACCAAGCCTCCCAAGTTGGCGACCTGAAACACAGAAAACACTTAACCAAAATTCAAATCCCTTCTTCCCAATTGAACTTGCGGGTCGTTTGCTTCATGGATTTGAAATATGAGGGTTTTGGTAAAACCTGGGTTTTGAAAAACCATGGATATATGATGGATTTGGTGGCATCATGGATTTGAACAAGTCTATTGTTTGCTTGTTGGATTTGATAATGGATTTTATTTGATTAGATTTGTGGATATGAAACACAAATTACCTTGTTACCCTTATGTAATTATATTTTCATTAAAAACAAATCTAATGCATACAAAGTAACCGAACTTCTACTTTGTGAACTCGTTCAATTACAAATATCGAAATGCATAATAGTTTGGACATGACACAACTCCCTAATTTTTGTATCTAACTGTCGATCTAGCAATAATGCACAAGATGAGCAAAAAGTGTTAGAAATATCAATAGAGGAGTAAATAGAAGACTCAGTAGACGAAGATGTGAAATTCAACCAAAATTGAAAATGAACCGATTTTTTGGTCAAACTCGAGCACCACGCTTAATCAAAAATTTCATCTCGAAATTCACAATTTATGCGAGAAATTAATGTTAAACAAGCCCAAAAAAAGAAAGAGACAAGGAGAAACAAACGTGAGAGTCCTTTATCATTCATTGCTCAATATGAAAAACTGAGGACGGAGAGTTGGAGGCCGCCACCGGAGAAGAAGGAAGGGTAGATTAGTCATTAGGTAAAATAAGTAGGGATAAACTAGTAAAATACCATCATGGATTTAAATCCATCACCCAATTCCCACCTCCATAGGTGGAACTTCCAAGTCCGTGGGGTCCACGGATTTGGACCTCCAAACTCTGTGGGCCCCACAGATTTACTCCCTCAAATTCCATCAAGCAAACAATAGACTTTTGTTAAAGTCCATGATAAATGCAAGTCCATCACCAAATCCATCAACAAAACCTTGAAGCAAACGACCCGTTGTTTCTTGATCAATCCATGGAAGCTTGTAATGCAAGCAATTTGGGATCATACCAACTTATGGGCCACACTATGGGTGGTATTAAGGAGTGCATTATGGGGGGGCTTAATGGGTGTATTGATGCAGAGAGGCACATTGATGCCTTGTATGTGGAGAGGCCTATATAAGGAGCCATCTCCCTCACTTGTGACTCATTCTATCATTTTTTAGAGTAATACACTTACAAAATTCTCCCATATTCTTTGTCTTTCTTCTTGCTTTCTTTGCTTGCACGTGAGTTTGAGAGAAGATTCCTTAGTTCTGTAACGGAATTGAGAGCTAAGGCCGCACGACCGAGAGTAAGGTCGTGATAAGTGGTATCAGAGTTTGGTTTGGCTCGGTGATAGCGAAGAAGAAGCAATATCCAAACAAAGAGGAAGAGCGTCACAAAAAATGTCTGGATCAGATAGCTGCGTTACTGATGCTGAGAAGCAATGTGGAAGAGATCCCAACAAGAGCTCGAGGCCTAAGGGCACATCGAGTACTCATGATCCAGTTGCAGCTCTAGAGAAGCGTGTCTCTAGAGTGGAGGTGAAGGTGGCCAAAGATGTCACCGCCATGGAGGATTTGGGAGCTAGCTTCACCAGAGTGACTGCTTGGTTGATGAGTTTGGAGATCGGGCATGATGGACTACGAGAAGATCTTGTGTCCCTCATCACCAACACCATCTCCGACTCTATGAACAACGCGAATGAAGTTGTGAAAGAGCATGTCCAGGCTGAGCTAGGCGGCATGAAGGAGGAGATTGCAGACCTCAAGAGCGAGGTCACTCTCATGAAGAGAGTCATGGTTAGCGGATCAGACCCGATGCAATCTGTCCCTCGTGCTGATGTTCCAAGACCGAAGAACTTTGGAGTATTGGTCGATATTGCTATGGTGTGGTGAAGGCGATGTGAAATGGACGTCGAAAGGGTATGTGTCTGATGGCAACATGAGATGATTTCAATAGAGAAATTAAGAAGCAGTTCTATTCGGAGAACGTGGAGTTCGAAGCCCGTTCAATGTTGAGGAGGCTCACCCAAAGGGATGGAGTTCGAGAATATGTGAAGGAATTCACAAAGCTGCTTCTTGAGATCCCATACATCACGGACAAGGAGGCCATGCACAACTTTCTTGATGGGCTGCAACCGTGGGCTAAGATGGAGATGCAACGTCGAGGAGTGCAAGACCTTGCAACATCCATGGCCACAACATAGACTTTTGTTAAGTACAAAAGGCAAGGGAGCATCACCAAGGAGAAGAGTTCAAAGGCCAACAAGGGTGGAGAACAACGTCAACCTTTCAAGGAAGGCACTCCCACTCAACAACATGGTGGCCAAAGCAAAGGGGGTAAGTTCAAACAAAAGCCCCTTACTTGTTCCTTTGCGATGGGCCACATCGAGAGCAAGATTGTCCAAGGAAGGCAAGATAGGCGGCCATGGAGGCTCAAGATGAAGAGCCCAAGGCAGCGGAGGCCAAGATTGGCTCAATCCGCAAGCTTGGCGCAGTGAAGACCGAAGTCAAGGAGAGCAAACATGGGAGGTGCTATGTTCTGGCCCAATTCATGCAAGGTGAATCAAAAGCCTTTGTAGATACCGGTGTCACATACAACTTCCTTCGCATCGAGGAGGCAAACTGACTGGGTATTGCCTACGAGAAGGGGCAAGGGTGGCTAAAGACGATCAACTTGGAGTCCATCTCGATCCATGGAGTTTCACACAACGTGCCAGTGAAGCTTGGCGAGTGGGAAGGCATCATCAAATTTTCCATCGTCACCATGGACGATCACCCCATCATCCTGGGCATCAACTTCCTCGTCAAAGAGGGAGTGCTCTTGAAGCCCAACTCCAATACAATGTGCTTGGAGAAGGGAGGGGAGTTCCATGTTGTCCATCTTTTGAGAGAAGATGCCTCCCATAGTGATTTTTTCGCAATGCAGGTATTGAAGGGATTCAAGAAAAAGGAGACAACATTTCTTGTGTCCTTGAAGATGGAGGAAGAAGGAGGTTCAGCGAGAACCAAAACTCCCATCATCGAAGGTGTTCTTGAAGAATTCGATGATGTAATGCCATCGGATTTTCCCGAGAAGCTTCCACCAAGAAGACATGTGGACCACAAAATTGAGTTGGAGCCAGGAGCGAAGCCTCTTCGAGAGCACTATACCGCGTGGCCTCATCAAAGTTAGAAGAGTTGCGGAGGCAGCTCAAGGACTTGTTGGACGCAGGCTACATGCGGCCATCAAAGTCATCTTTTGGAGCACCGATGTTGTTCCAAAAGAACAAGGAAGGGTCATTGCGCATGTGCATTGATAACATCATATTTGCACATGTTTTCAGCCTTGTTTCTTAACCATTTTTGCTCAAATTTATGCTTCCTTGGCCGATTTTATGCTAGCTTGTGCTATTTTGTCACATTTCAGGTCCTAGCAGGTGGAGGAAGGCATAGGCGCAAGTTTCAGATCATTTGGAGATCACTTGGCGATTCTGGAGGAAAAATATCGTCGTCCCCTAAGTGAAGCACGACCGTGCTTTACTAAACACCGCGGTGTTTTACTAAATACTGTCAGTGTTTTTCCCCGTCTCAACTTAAGTGAAACCCAATGTTTGGTCAAAGCACGATCAGAGAAGAAAGCACGACCGTGCTCTTGCCCATGCTTCGCCTAGTATCGAGGTAAATAGGAAGATCGAGCCAAAAGAAGGGGATTAGAGTTTTTTGAGCAAAAATAGAGTTTTATAGAGAGAAAGGATGAAGAGCAAGCCCTAGGATGGATTTTGGAGCTGGGTTTCATCATTCAAGCTTGGATTTCGGCCTTGGAGTGAAGATTTGCATCCCAAAGCTTATCATATACATCATTATGAGTATGACTCCTCTGATTTCTATTTTCCCCTGTATCTCTATGGAGTAAACTCCCTCTCTCACCTGGGTATGAAGAATCCTATATTTGTATGTTAGAGTTGGTTGTATGAACCCAAGTACATGATTTTTTTATATTGATTATATTCAATTGAGGCATGATTTCAGAATTGCATGAGTTCTGATCACATTCTTGTAGTTTCTGCTTTGACCTAGAAAGAGAATATCTGCATAGGTTGATAGAGCACCCTTGATTGAAGGTGGTGTATTGACTACTTCAGTCGAGAAGTCAGTTCACCGCTCTGCACTGGATTTAATCCAGTAGAGAAGCTTTTGCACGTTAGGGCCTTAGTTCGTTTATTCCGGTGGAGGTTAGTCGACTGTCGGGTATTCAGGCTGGGAGGGTCTGAAGACCTTTAGTCGAGACTTCAGATTGAATAAGAACCTTCCGCAGTATAGCAATCATTATATCTGAACTTGGTGAATTACAATTCGGTCTAACTGCAATCTAGGGGGAACCATATCCGGGTGACCTCTCTCAAACTTGAATCACAACTTTACTGCTTTGTGTTTGCTTAGGTTAGATACAACTTCACTACGTTTAACCTGCTAGATAATGAGAACTTCACGGAGTAGTCATCACATCTAGGAATCGGATTGATAAATAAAGCTAAACCCGCTATACTACGCATGAGTCTGTGGTTACACTTGGCCACTTTCTAGTGCGGCGGTATCGGCGAATCAAGTTTTTGTTGAATAAAAGTGATTTATGTTACTCTTGCATTTCCTTTTGCATTGTTTTTTTTATTTCTTTCCCATTTTGCCTTCATGGGTTTGCCTGCAGCTTGCGTGCAGGTAGTGCATGACTCGTAGCCAGTTGGGAGCATTATTGTCGTTGGAATGTTATGAGTCCTTGAGAGACGCTTGGGAACGGTATTCTGGAATGTTTTGGAAGTGACCCCACCACGGGTTCAGTGATGCATTCACCGTGGGGGAACTTCTACGATGCCTTATCCCTAAGAGTCTGTGGTTGATCGAGTCTTTGTGCCCGGGTGGAGACATCCTCACCAAGACTCCGCCAGAGTTGAACTAGATGATCGAAACTTTGGCCTCCCGGGACCATTCTTGGGGACATATCACATTAGCAGGAGTTCGAGGGACAGAGGTGTGCATGCCGTGGAGACCAGATCAGGGATTGAAAGAGAAGTGGCAGAGCTGGTTTAGACATAGAAGCATCCTAACAGCCTCATACCAGGTAGAGGCATGGCGGCGCCTCCAATAGCCCAGTGTTAGTGGTACGAAAGCTGAAACCATTTGGTGAAGGACTATCAGGCCATGCGAGAGTCCATCACCCCACATGTTTAGTTGGACTTCATTGCCAATGATCGACGCCTCGACCCCTACAGCGGTACTTAAAATGAGGGGTGGCGCCAACATCCCAATTTCTCTTGGGGTGGCAGCAACAGCACCACCACCAAGCCTCCTGGCTTCGTGACACCAACTGGTGGCTTTCCCTAGAGGTAGAAGTACCATACCCGAAAAGGTCATTTCCAGCAACACCAACCATTCCAGCCCAGATAGGGGCAACCTTTTCAGCCGCAACATCGATAAATTCATCAGCCGAAAGTAGGGGTGGCAGTTCGGTTATCGGTTAGCCGGCCGGTTAAACCGATAACCGACCGGTTATCCACTGACCGCTAACCGAACTTCGTTCATTTATCGGAGGCTGGACGAAATGGTTTTTTGTCTTAAAAGTGGTTCGGTTAACCGATAACCGAGATAACCGAGAAACCGAAGCCTATTTCGGGCGGTTTTCGGTAAAGGGAGTGGTTATTTCGGTTAATTGATAACCGACCGATCGGTTACCGGTTATAACTGAATTGCCACCCCTAGCCGATAGCATCCCCAGTGCAGGGTGACCAGATGTCCTAACTGCGAAATATGGTGATGACTTTCATGAGTACCGGTACTCAGAAGTTCTCCAAGATGGACCAGTTCATTGATTTCTCCATAGGGAAATTCAATGAATTGGAGGCAGTTCTGAGGAACCATAATGCCATTCTACAGGATCTCCAGAACCAGATTGGGGGCATAGCCCGAAACAACAGGACCAGAGCACCAAGGACTCTACCTGGCAACACCATCCCAAATCTTAGAGAGCCTCACTAGCAATTGGATGCCATTACTACGAGAAGTGGGAAGACGACAGATGTAGTTCCTGCTCCAGTTAGATAGGATAAACCGAGACCTGTTTCAGCACTTCCAGCCGAAGACGAGGAAGTGGAGATTGAGAAGGAAGCGCCTGCTTCCAAACCACAATTTCCTTTCTCCACTCGTATGCACAAGAAAAGTTGGATGAAACAACCCGATGCTTTTGAAAACTCAAACCACACTTCATACCAAAAACTGGTTATTTCGGAGCAACCCATGCCATGTTTTAAAGACAAAGAAGAATCAATTGACGATAGTAATCATAAATCCCAAACGAAAATCCCTAAACAGTTGGGAAAATCCCAATCCAAAACACTTAAACATAAACCTTGAGTTTCCCAGTATACTCATAAGACACGAAACAAAGAAAAATACGATAAGGGGTTCTTCTAGTTACACTGAGCCTTCTGACATCTTCAAGCTTGACGAGGCTGACCTCCTTGATTAATCTCCTCATGCTGGTTACGTCCTCTTCCCTTTCCTCACTTGGTGATTGAGAAAGGGTCAGTCTCGACGTTACTTACTAGGATCTTTGCCTTAGTAAACTCTTACTAACATGTTATTAGAAATTTCTCCTCTTACGTGAAAGCCGTTCTCGCTTCCACCTCTTTAAGTATATTCCTTCCTTACATGAAAGTCGTTCTCACTTTCATCCTTAACACATTATCCTTGTAATACTTTTAGAAGTTATCTACTTCTATCTTTAACTTATATACTTATACTAGGGAATCAAAGAATTACGTATCGTCGTCCGGTGTCCGTATCCTCAAGGAAATGGTATTGCGTTTACGTATCGTCGTCCAGTCCATGTCTGGTCAACTACTATGTTACTTATCACCGTCCAGTAGGGACCCGAACATCTACCGCGTCCAGTAGTGGCCCAACTGCCTGACGGTTCCATTACTCTAATACCATACATCCACACACATTCATACACATACATAGCACAACGCGTGCCTCCACCTTAAGTAGGCAGTGGGATGCCTTAAACACATTATCGGGAATGAGATTGGGTACTAATCCTTTAAAGGGTTAGCACCATGCTAACTTGTTAACAGTTGTTAGATCAAAATAATAATCCTAAGGTCAGAATTAATTAAAGGATATTTTAGTAATATTATTTCAAAACCCTAATATATAAACCCTCCTATCCCCACTCACGGCCGCCACTCCTCTTTCCCGTCCTCTTTCTACACAAACTGCCTCTCCTCTCTCCCCTTCTATCTTGACGAATATGAACAATCTTTGTACATCGTTCGACGATAGGCAACATCAATCTACGAGACGTCCAAAGAGCCATGCGATGGAGGTAAGCGGCGACAAAAGAAGAATGGTAGCCAGAGATGACGATGGAGGAGGGCGGCAACAACGATGACGATGAAGGAGGCAGGCAGCGATGAGAGAAGAAGGTGTCTTGATTGCGCGACTCCGCCGTCTCTTTCTCCATTGTCTGCGCCTTCGCCGGCATAAAGAAAATGTAAACTCTGGATCTGCCTTCCCCATTGCTCGGCGATGTCCTGGTACAACAGATCTGGGGTCACCATCGATCAGATCCGAGGGACGATGTCAAGAGCAGGTGAAGGGATCAGCAAAATTCTTCTGGGCGCTTGTTTTTGTGGCATTGCGGAGGCGGGGATGACTTGTTGGGGCTGGCTGAAGTGGGCATCTCGCTAGGGTCGTACAGGCAGAGGAGGAAAGAGACTTTGGTTTATAAGTTTGTAGTAGCCATATGTTAGTAGTAATTTGTATGCGGTAGGTATGTATTAGTAGTGATTTCTATTATATTGTGTAGTGAATTTTATAAAATATTAGTAGTGGTTTACATAATTATAGTAATATTTTTCGTTTGTAGCATTGTTTTATAGTAAGTCTCATTAAAAATCATCAATAGTTAAATAAAAATCACTACTGAGCATTAATAACTCAAAAACATAAACTAGCCTCATAAACTAGCTTTAATAACTCAAAACATAAACCAAAATCATTAACTATAATTTACACATTAACTAGCCTCATTTTTCTTATTTAATTTAACATAACTAATTTTTAAGAGTATGCTACACATGTATAAAATTCTGATTCTTAATTTTCATACGTAAATGAAATATTCTAGTCTTTCAAAAAATTAACAAATTCCGAAAAGATACGCGTACAGAAATCAAATCAATTAAAACGAATGTCATATCAATTTTAGTAATTATTAAATCAACTCTAAAAATCACCAGATAATTTGTAGATTAAGATATTACATTTTTTTTTTCGGTGAAAATTATTTAACTAACAAGATCTCTTGTATACTATTTTATTCACTTAAAACTGAATTTACACCTATTTTTAAAATTATAAATAAATTTCCAACAATTCTCAAATTTCTATCCATACATTCTACGAACATTCTATTATTTATAAAATTATCAAATCATGATAATACGTGTTATACGTAGACTAACAATAATAATAACTTTGAGAAAAATCACCTTCTAAAAATATTGGGGACTAAGCTGCTCGTACGGGAAATATGAGGGACTAAAATGGATATTTTCACACTGATTGAAATGAAATTACTTCTAGGTCCTTATATTGTTGAATAGACAGATTTAGTACTTGAACTATCCGATTCACGTCACAAGCTTTCGAGACTCGTATCTTCCTCGTCCGACGTTGATTTCGTCGAAACTGGGGTGCTCTTGAGATCGTTCACTATGAGATGATACCAAGTTTTCGAAGCTTGATTGAGGTCGAGTCCGCCGGTGCCGTCGTCGAAACTATGATCACTACGTGTATTCGCGGGTTAATCGGGTTTTAAAGGTCATTGCCCAAATAACTTTAGTAAACTGTTGCCAAACGAGTTATTTGTAAAATTATTCGAATTATCCTAAAAATTGAACCATTAAAGATTAGCTATCAAATTTAGTAAAATTATTGTGACTTCAATCATAACTTACTCAATAGCATATATCCTATACACTTAGCTTTACCCTCAATCAACAATATTAAGTTAGTATATGTTGTTGATTGTATACCCTAAACCATCAATACATTATACACTAACCACATAACCTATACCCTAACCATATGTCCTTGAGTTGTGATTTTGCTAGTATAGTTAATTTAAAAGTGAAATTCATATTTTGATTTTCAAAACATAGATAAAAAGTGATATTTACTAATTGTTATACCCTAACCATATATCATATACTTTACACCACATACCTTGTACCCTAACCATGTACCATAAACATAAATTAAAAAGGGATCTTCTACCGTTAAAGACTTCAAATGACTTCAAGTGAACATATGTTAATAAAAAATTTAGAACCGTCAAAACCATCAATATCTTATACCCTAACCATATACACCATAAACCATATGTACCTTATACCTTATACCCTAACCATATACTTTATATCTTAAACAACGAACCGTCAAAGATTACTTATCAAGTTTAGTATAAATTGTTGTAACTAGTGGTTAATTTATTTATTAGCCCATAAAAAATTACATACATATATACATATTAGCCTTCAAAGCATATAAGAATAATTTTAACTAGTCATGCTCTCCATATAAAAGTTAAAGAGTCATATTTCAAAAGCTAAAATTATGAAAAACCAAAAAATTGAAAACACCAAATTTGTTTCATTCTTTCTTTTCACAAAAATACTAAAATTTCTCTCCTTCTTTCTCCTTTCATACATGAGAAAAACTCAATTTTCCCTCATCTTTCTCATCCATGAAATTGAAAGAACCAAATCACCATCTATTTTCCTTCTACAAAAAGTTGAAAAGTCAAAAGTTTCCCTCCTTATTTCTCTTTCATAATCAAAAGAATAAAACTTTCCCACTTCTTTCTCTTCCCACATATCAAAACCACCAAAATTCCCACTTGTTTTTTTTCTAAAAAATTCAAAGAACCAAATTTCCCTCTTCTTTCTCTTCCCAATAACTTGAATACACCAAAATTTCCCTCTTCTTTTAAAAACATCAAATTACCAAATACATTACTTTACTTTATTTATATTTAATTGATAATTTTATTGAATAGTTAAATTAACCAAAATTTTAATTTATATATTATATTAATATTTTCATGATCTCAAGTGACCTTCATGTTTCAATTTTTGTAATTTTCTTAAAATACGTAATATCAAGTGAGTTTCATATTTTTAAAATTTCTTATACGAAATGAAAAAATAATTTTACTTAAGTTTAGAATGAAAAAATTTATTTTGAAAAACTATGTATTGTATATTTTTATAATTATTCAAGTGGATCAGATGAAATTCGGGTTGAGTCGGTCGGGTTATGGGTTAGTCGGGTTCGGGTCAATCGGGTTCGTGTTAATCGGGTTGCGGGTCAATCGGGTTCGGGTTAATCGGGTTGCGGGTTAGTCGGGTTGCGGGTTAGTCGGGTTGCGGTTCAATCGGGTTGCGGGTCAGGCGGGTTACGGGTTGTTGACTTTTAGTCAATTCGGGTTGCGGATCGGGTTGATCGGGCGGGTTAAACGGGTCGGGCTATGTTTTGACACCTATACTTACCACTGCAACTTCAGGACAACGAGATAACGTTGATGGTTGTGATAATTTGGTGCCTTGCCGCTTTTGCCTCTCGACGCCAGCCATTTATTTTTATGCGGGAGGCCGCGGAAGAAGGAATGACGGGGCGCTGCTGCCACTGCTTGCGATAGAGACGAGAAGGAGTGGGTTCCTTCTCCCTTTTCTTTTTGCCTCTCTTTGGTTTACGGTAGGGGTTAAGGAAAAGGGTAATAGGGCGAGCGATTTAATATTATGTGAAGGGATTAGTTGTTGTCTGTTAGGGGGAGAGAGTAAGGATGGCAATTGAGATTCGCTCCGTTGGATATTACCCGATCTGATTTGTGTTGGGGCGGATAAAATCCGACCCGTATTAAAACAAGGCGGATTTTGATCTGTTTCGTAGCTAAACATAGTGGGGCATGAATTACCTCTACTTCACCCGACTTGCTCCGCTCCGCTCTGCTCCAAGCATTTCACACTTCACGAACACCAAAAAAATCCCCATCATCCCAACCCTACACCTTTGTCTCCTTGGTCTATGTAATAAGAAAATCACCTGCCTTTCTCGATTCTTTCCAACCGGGTCCGGATCCCATCAGTAACCTTTTTGTTAGTAATTGTCAGTAACCAGTTCATCTACCGTCCATTGCATTTAATTTGTAACCGTCAGATCAGGAAAATTAAATACACGGAGGGGCAAAATCGTAATAGCGTCAACCCATTTAATGATGATACTGAGGTTTGATCAGATGCGGACCCCACAATGACTCCCACCCCATGCCTTCCTCCCTCTTTTTCTCCACCCTCACGAGTCCCCATGCTTTCCCTCTCTCTGACATCTGCAAACAAAAAAATAAATCATTTCTCTCACACATTTTATTGTCTGTGACTAAGAGAAGAAGAAGAGAAACAATTCTCTCTCATCTAAACTAAAAAAAATTATCCATGTGTTCCCAAGTTTAACTCCAACTCTACAACACATATATATGAATCAAACCATCTAAACTCTCTCTGCTCTAACTTCAACTCAAATTTAATTGTGATGTCTTTATTCAATCATTTATGCTTAAAATGATAATTACAAGTATGAATATAATTACCACCTTCTACAACTATGGTATAACATAATAAAATATGCTAAAAAAATTAGAAATCTAATTACCATACAATAGCACATGGTAATACATGCTAAAAAATTTGTAAATCTAATTACCATATCATACCACCATAATAGAACATGGTAAATCGAATGACCACAAATTAGTTATAATTATCACACAATACCATATGGTAAGAGAAGGTGATAGACCGTTAGTTACACATGTTTTCACCCCTGTTCTTACACCGTTGGAGATGTGGTTTCTCGTGTTTTAGACCGATTTCACGCTAGGTTGTGCTTGTTTGTGATATTTCAGGTCCTGGCAAGTGAATGAAGGTTTAGGAGCGAGTTCGGGGTCGATTGGGCGAAGATCGGGCACGCGGCAAGTCACAAAGGAGGTCACACGGGCTGCCCTGATGTTCACACGGCCGTGTGAAGGAATGGCCTGGCCGTGCGAGTTTTGCCGAGAGCACACACGGGCAGAGCAGACAATCACACGGCCGTGCAAGTGATCAGTCTGGCCGTGCCACATTCTGCGTGAGCAAACACGGGCAGGAAGGGAAGTTCACACGGCCGTGCCATTCTGGCCGTGCAAAGAGCCTGGAATTCGAACTAATTGGAACGCAGCGTTTTGACTCACACGGGCAATTGGGTAAGCCACACGGCCGTGCCACCCTGGCCGTGTGAGTCGGGATTTTCTCCTTTTAAGCAGATTTTCAGCCACAAGTCAGGGGGGTTTCGAGTTTTTGAGAGATAGAACGACTTCTAGAGAGAGAAAGTGACGAGCAAGAGTTCCCAAGTGCCCTAGATTGATCTTCAACACCATTGGAGGCCAGCTTGAGCTTGGAGAAGTGCCAATCAACGTCCAGAAGCAGGAATCCATCCTTCGTAGTATGAATTCCGTGTCTGA